ATTTTTATCTGAAGAATTCTAACTAGTCGAACGAATGGAAACTCTACGATTGTTATTCCATTGGACATTCAGATAAATTTATATTTAGATGTAGAAAGTAATTCTGTTCCTCTGTATTCGATAATTTATGACTCTAGTTGAACGAGAATTTCGTTCATCTCTGTGGCGCAATCGCGGTTCAGAATTACAGGCGTGACAGGAACACGTCGTTCAAGCATTTGACGCCAGTTCTCGCGAAGTGTCGATCTCAAGGATGTACGTACACGTTCCGTGGCGATGCTGGTGTCATTAGGCGTCTAATCCGCGGCCGTCTTACCTGCCTCGACTTTCTCACGTCCGTGAGACTCTCGAGGCGGACTTTTCGAAGCGTGGATGCGTGAAAACAATATTTATTTATCCGTTGACAGGGAATCACATCCTTTCTATACTAAAATAAGAGAAAAACAATCGATGGAACATAAACAAAAAAATACATGCAAAAACAAAAGCAAGCGGCTGGAAGAGAGATACGATATCAAAGGCAAACAAGATTATCAGTTAGGCTAGGGCAATAAAGCGATCGTCTGGTCACCGTGTTCGATGGAACGATCTGACCCAGAAAACAAGTCGATAGAACTGCATAAATGATTTGCAAAGTTAAATAGGCATCCTAGTGATAAGAATCATTCTGTTAAAAAATGACAGACTGACCGAGGACACGCGTTGAAGTTAATTGACTGTCGTTCAGAACAGTTAATGTGGTCAGCGATCTTAAAAATAAAACAGGTCATCGGCATCAGCGCGTATCCTTCTCGGCTATATGCAAACGTAAATGGTGTAATGATATAGCGACGATGCTTGGTATAGCGATTATTTCTCGACTTAAGAATTGTGGATGATCGAAGAATCTATTTTGAAAAAAAAAAAGTCCTTGTCCTGAGCATCTAGTAATCAGAGGTGGGCAAAGTTTCACGTAATAGGTGACGAATAAACGAAACTTAGATTTAGTTCTAATACTTTAGTTCTAATACTTTAGTTCTAATACCGAAGTCTTAATTTTGCATTTCTTCACTGTGAAATATTTCATTTTGTAATTCAAGCTTTAATTTTTATTTCGTGAATAACGAGTGAATTTATTCACCAGTTCTTATCTAGAGAGGAATTTTACCCACCTCTGCCAACAGGTGGCAGATTGGTATCACGCACTTAGAATTTCCACGTCATGTTGCTATTGATATGCAAATGAAGCTCTGAAAAGTGGGATCAATGATGATCCATCACCAATCGGTTAATGGAATGGCAGCAGTAGGTTTAGCGAGCAATCAAGGGGATTGAAATTAAAATTCAGATGGTTTCGAGGCATTTATATTTGAATTAAAACGAGCACAGTGAAGATTGGATAAATCCAAGAAAATCGGAACCCAACATTGCATTTATCCAGTCGGAGTTTCTATTCTGTGTTTACATTTGACTCGAGTCGAACGTAGAAAAGGACAGAGAGTGAAAAAGAAAAAGGTCGATCTATTAGGATCATATTTGCATTTATCCAGTCAATCCTGTCTTGCACACTTATCCAGTCTTTACTGTACATGGCTCCATCAGGTCTCGACAAGGTCTATTGAAGAGTCTAAATTAAATGACAGATTGTACATTTACAAATGAACCTTTTCATTATAAATTTATACACATGTAAAGTTCATTCATGTCCACACTAACAAATATATCGCATGCGCAGGATGGTGGTGTACAAGAGGCGGCACTACTACGTGCCCGGGCCATCGACGATGCCGAACAAGAGGAAAATCATACCGCCTACCAGCAACCTCTACCGAAAGGGGATCGCCTACACCGAGCTCAGGGACATGAACAACGATTGACGATCGCTGGTGAGCTAGAGAAACCGATTCGTAAACCGACTCTGATGCGAATAGAGCACGTGAACTTGGTTAGAGCAAGGAAGCAAATAGGAACGAGGAAGCTAAACGACGTCAGGGCGCCTGACTGTCCGAACGCTGTACAACCTCGGGTGCTGACGTAACTGAATACAGGAGGTGTACAAGGTGACAAATAGAAAAAAAGAAACGCTCTCGATCCAGCTCTTCGAAGGCTAGAGAGCTTTTTCGAGAGCTCGCGCTATCCTCCTCGAAGTTAGCTCGAGGAGGACGCGTTAACGTAGATGGCGTCACTGCACGCGCGAAACACTGAAGTATACCGATACGAAGCTATACTGTACAATAAAGTATTAGTGTAATTCAGTGCCACGAACCCTCGGCGCATCGAGTCGACTGAGAAGAAAAGTTCCTGACGAGCTGCGTTTCCGTTTCTTAGGGTACAAAATGTAAGAAATCTGTGGGGGCTACGATCATCGTTCAGTTCGGTCATTAAGCTGTTTTTTTTCCTGACGAAGAATATCTTTAGTCTACCAAGATAAAGTTGTAACGTTTTGCACTCCAGTGGCGTATCGCTCATTTTAACGCTAAACCTACCAACATTTCATTTGTACCTGCTTCTGCTATTAGGGGTGTGCGGGATCCCGGTCGGGACGGGAATTCCTTTCAGGATTCGGGATGTAATCCCGAGAATTTCAAAATCCCGAATACATCCGGGATTCCCGTGAATTTCGAGATCCCGTTAATGTTCGGGATTTCCGGGAATTTCGAGATCCCGTACATTCGGATTGCTGAAATTTTCAAGAATAACAACACTTTCGGAAGTCCCAGATATTATTCTACATCCCGTACATTGTCGGGAATCCCGGATTTTTGCGGGATCTCGCGTATTCTCGGGAATCCCGCATAAACTCGAGAATCCCGAATATTCTCGGCAATCCCGAATATTTTTGGGAATCCCGGACATTTTATGGGAATCCCGAATATTTTTGGGAATCCCGCACACCCCTGTCTACTATACTATGGTCTCGAAGAAACTGTAATCAATTAAACGCAAACATATTTCACACTGTATATAACAAACTGCACGAGAGTTTGAAAACAATCATTCGACCAAGCACGATAGGTCTAGTATTAAAAGGAATTCTCGAAGTGCAATGCGTTAACTACAATCCCTATGTATCGAAAGGATTCTTTGGATTCAGTGAAATAAATGAAAGAGCTCCCTTCGCTGCTCGATGTACAAAGTTTGCGCGCAAATATAAATAGAAAAACGGACAATAAAGTAATCGAAAGTGACGGGCATCGATGGATATTGGCGCGGAAGAGACTGCGCATGCGCAGATGATCGAACGTGCCCCGCAGGATTTGAGCGGCCATCGACAAGCAGGATCGAACGATCGCTACGTTTCACGTACATTGTTTATAGGTGAGTTTAGACAATTAATAATCGAATCACGATACCATAGGTAGAATTAACGATATTGTATATTTCCTGATATTTTTGTAAGGGAATCCATTCGCTTTAAGCGCTTAGAGACCGACGACTCGTGTTCGTATTTTATTGTTATTTCGAACGTAACGCGGCACAGTCGACGATCATAGTAGCGCTCTCTCACTTTCACTCTGCGTATTTCCTATTGCGTTTGCCATTTGACTTTCGACACTCTTTTTAAACGTTTCGAAATTGCTTGTGTTCGATCGACAGAGATGGACAACATTCTCTTAATTGTTAAAATTACATCACCGAGTGATTATTCAATCGAATTAATGCGTGCTTTTATTCGTCATCGGTATATAGATGGCGAATAAAAATATCCAAAGCAATTTCGTACATCTCTGCCTATCGACGACCATCGAGGCTATTCTACTTAATCTTTATCGTTATGGCAAGCGCACTATTTCGATCGTCGACCAGGGCCGTACATATTTTTATGTCCAAAGCAACAACCTTATACGGAGGAAATTTTATTTAATATTGATTACTAGAATACAGTGTAACAAAAATGATAATACCCATTTTTCAAATGATAGATAAAGTGTTAAAGCAGTTAGTTTAAATCTGACCGAGAGAATGATACTTCTTCTGGCCTTGTCACGGCCCTGTCGATGACCGCCACACGCTGCAGTGAGAAGAATTCCTGAATTCCCTTTG